GGTTCACCAGTTTAGTATGTGTGTATGTGTGTGTATTTAATTAAAATTCACTTGACTCCAGTATAGTTCATGTGTTCAATGAAAGTCTAAAATAAAATTGGTAAAATCTTGTGTTTATATTGTCTTAGAAAAGACACAAATAATGTAAAACTACATAAATATTACTGGTTAACACCAAAGCTGAGAGAAGACTGGTGTGCTAACGCTATAGGGACGCAGGCGCAGCTACACATAGGTACTTATTTGAGGTTAAAGACTTAAGGCTGAGACACCGGATACGTTTCAAGGTCACAACGACCTTAGCCTGACCTCACACCAAGTCAAAATGTCAGACAAAAACTTACATATACAAGTCGAAACATACAAGACCGCAAATGGTTGACTACGTCAACGGCCTACAGTGGCTGGATGTCGGTGGCTGCACTACGTCGCGTGAGTTCAGTTCTTGCATTGATCAATTTTTTGTGGGATCCACAATGTTGTTATGGGTCTGGATTTGAGTGTGCAAAAATATCAGGGAATACCAGGAATGTGTAATTAAAATGTTATTAATCCTGTATGTGCAAATAAATGTTCTTATCCATATCCTTATCCTTGAAAAGGTCTTTTGAGAAAATGTCTTGCTGTTATTTGTAAAATAAAAACCTTTTTTAAAAACTGGGTTTTACATGTACCTTGGCTAAGCCACAGCCCTGGTCAAGTTAAATAAACCTTGTTAAATAAATACATAGCCAGGTAAATCCCCTTTTCTATTGCAGCTCTTAAATGCACTGCCTAATGCATTTAAGTGCTCTGTCGCAAACTGCAGTTAGGAGCACCTATCTAGTCGAGCAACTATTTGCAACTTTGCAATTTACATAGTGCAACATGCTTGTAGCTGTTTACAGCTTAAGCTTGCTTAATAAATACCTATGGAGTCCGATTCCCAATGTAAAATCCTAAAGATAATATTATTCTTAGATTTGAATCAATAAAAAATTGGTGTCATCCATCTGGTTACAATCACCTACTATTATTGACATACAAAATTAAAGAAACTAAAAATATATATTTATAAAGTAGGCACATACAAATTACCCAGCCACAGCATACCCAAATAAATAAGATACAGAATGCTAGATCGGCAACATCATAAAGATTATACGACTCTGCGCAGGCGCATGTTGCAATATAAAGTGTTACGAGGACGTCGCTCGTCTCTATATCTTATGAATATCCTTAAAAAATTGCAAATTGAGGCAGACGAGTTTCCTTAACGATATCGTTTCATCTATAAAAAGCTTATAGTTTGTTTGTCTAAGCACGTTTATCTTGAACACGTGGAACCCCGTGGATGGTTACAGCAGAATGCATTTTGTCATCACTGCTACTCAGATTTTGTTACTAGGTTATTCTTCATACTCTTGAGGTAGGTTATATAACAGATTTAAATAGCCTCTCAAAGGGCATTGCCTAAAATTGGTGCCTTTCTTTTTTCTGGCGGCAGTCGATGATTTATGGAAAATATTATCTAGAATGACATTACAAACGAAATTGTCTATGGGCTTATATATGGAAATCTCAGTCTGGACTGAGTTATGAGCGTCGAAAGGAGCTGAAGTTAAACATTTTACTTTGGTTTTTTTATTCAAATTATTCATATTTTTGTCACAATTCCTACCTTCAAATTGCGCGCCACTGTACGCCGGGCACAAGAGCACCATATTACACCACAATATATCTATATTGCCAGGCACTAATTTTTATTTGCTATTTTCTCTCAGTCGATAATTTGTGGGATGCTCCTAGGAGTTGTGTCATGAAGCTTCATGAGCGTCAGCTGTGGTACTAGTGGTGGGTTGAGTAGTGGTAGCCGTCCAAAAACCTAAAAAAGTATTTTTTTTTGCCATTGACTCCTGGTCGTAGACTCATCTACTTTATAGGTAGTATTATATAATCTTTAGTACTATATAATCTTTCGAACCGGAAACTGAATTTGTAAAGTGATGGACTATACGTCAGATGAACGCATTATTTTTTCATATAATGTGATCAGTCGAAATATAATCCATCACTTAATGACTGAATGACGATATCTTTGTCCAGAATCTTATGCTAGCTGAAGATTAAAGTTAGTCGGGAGAAGTAGACTGAAAAATGTTTTTTTGTGTATCCGCTACCAACGCCGCAGCAGACGAACACAGCATTTCATGACAGGGCTCAGTAAAGTATTTTGCAAGTTTTCGATTGAGAGGATATTGATCATGAACATATAAAGTGGATACGCTAACCAATCAAGCGAAATGTTTTTTTTTTACTTCAGCAGTGGCCAGTAAATGGTTCAGTCGGTTCTGATTCCGTGGCATTAAAAAAAAAAACAAAAAAAAGGAAAAAGTCCACAATAAGCTTTATTATTTTCCTTGAAATCGTTTATAAACATTTATTACAAAATATTTCTGACGAGTAATTGAAGAAATATGTGTTGTGTACGGTCACCATCATCAAAATAACAGGGATAATATACCACTATTTTCACATCTTTGAACTGATTTAACTCGGTTCGGACTGTGTTTTTGATATATGACCCCGTATATTTTTTTGTTTGTTATGTTATTCTGCATCAGTTTTTCCACATTCGATCAACTGCCGCGAAAAAATTAAAAGGCACCACGCTCCATACAAATTTGGTCATTGTCATTTAGAAGGAAGGTGCATTAATCACCACGCTTGCTCAAGGGCCTTGAGTCAAGGCGGATACCTGTAAAGTGTAAAATAAATAAATAAATACCTATACGATTTCGAATCAAACTTATAATTTGAAATTAACCATATCTCGATGTTATCCTGAAAAGTTACATTTATAGGGACTTGCCAGATTTTGAACCCGAATTTGCATGCTTGAGGAGTGGAGCCTTGCTTACCTAACCCTTAATGATAACGTACCACACGTACCAGAGACCTTAGTATAGAAACGAGACCGCGTTCGCCACTCTGATTGGTTCGTTCATTGGCGCCGGCCAATCAGAGCTCCGAACGCGGTCTGATTACTTCAAACGTAAACTAAGGCCCCAATACCTACCTTAAAGTAATGACGTCCTTCGTACTAAATTAGGATAGGTGTCGTGTCTATGACACCATGACACCCATCGCATATTAAATGATTTTATAGCCTGTTTAGTAACGTAGCCTTCCTTTCTTTTAATTCAATCGTAATCGTATTAACTGGCTAATTCATTGAGTCATCCTTTGGTTCAAATTCTGCCATCTCGAAAAATTCAATGTCATGGGGCCAAATCTCGATTTTCGTCATTTATCTCGGGATCCAGATTGTAAGTCTATCAAAAATATCTCTATCTCTAAAACCGAGAATTGGCCCCCTGGTCCACCGAATTACAAAAGAAGTTCATCCAATTTTATGCAGCCGTTTCTGATTGAGTGATAAACAAGCAAACAGTTAAATTCACATTTATATCCTAAGAACCAAGGATTAAAACAAAGGTTCTAGATAAGTATTATTATTATTTATTTAATTTTGATAACGTGCAGAATGCGTACCTACGCGCAAGCAAACACTTGACAACTAAAGTAGGTACTTTATGGCTATGACGATTTTGATAGGGCACTCTCAAGTGGGAATTTACAAACTGTTTTTAGATTTGTCTTGAGATAATAAACGTAGAGTTATTTAACTTGTTTTGTTTATTTATAGTTATCTAAAAAACCCTACTTAACGTTTTCTTTATAGTAATTTCTGTTTGATATTCAATTGAAATGAAATTTACTATAATTAATAATAATGTTTTTAGGGGAATTCCCGGGATTATCTTTACATATAATAAAACAGAAGAGAGGTTAATTCTGTAGGTAGGTACATGAAATATATTTCCAAAATAATCCATCAGGGGGTGATTAGGAATTGAAATGAATGTGAGAATATATGAGTTTGTTACTCAGTCACTTCAATACGGCTGAAGAAACCAGGATGGGAACGGAGGCAGATTATGGTCTGATAATACATAGACTTTTTAGCCCTGAGAACGCGGGCCAAACTATAATAATTAAAAGTGCAGGTTTTGCCCCATTTATCTATGGATTAATACCCAGAGGTGAATTAAACTTAGTTTTTTTTTGACGCCGCCGCCATTCTACGGCTAGTTGGACATAAGCGTCTCGCGGCGCCCCTCTATAATCTGGCGGCCTACGCACTATCCTAGTTTGCCTCAGGGACAAATAATAAAGCCCTTTATTCTGAATTTGTACAAAGAGTTGTTACTAAAAGATTACAGTATATCTCTTAATTCAGTGTGCTTTTGGCAAAGGCCTCTTCTAGCAGTCTCCGTTGAATTCTATTGCGGACCACTCTTCTCTAGTTGGGGCCTGCCGTTTGTCTTAATTCGTCCTCCCATCTTTTAACTGTTTTCCTCTGCTGCATTTACCATCCCTTTGATACCAACCAGTCACTATCTTACTGTAAAAGATCATCAGGGATAATACGGCTCTGCTAAAACCTGCACTAAAATAAGATTGAAGGGATTCCCGCACAGAGCAACTCTTTGTGTGATCCACAAATTGATTTTCCGAGTCTGTCATGTGTATGTGAACTTGTATGTTTATAAACGCACCCACGACACAGAAAATCCTAGTGGGATAACGTTTTTTTTTTTAAAAAAGAAATCTCGAACCTCGTTTATTCTCTTTTCTAGACACATTAGAAATCCGTAGTCACTTAGGAATTTCGGATATCTTACCTACTTAATCTTATTACGACAGTTCGGTTCCTTCCTAGACTAGACACCTCGTGATTAGACAAATCTCTGTATCACGTGAATAGATATTATTATTTAATAACAATTTCACAAGTTGTGCAATTCGAAAATACTGAGAAATCTTCTTAATGGTTCTTAAAATCATTGTATCTACTTTTCAACCACAAAAAACTTTCAATCGTAAGAAAAAAACGTGTTTGCAAGAAGTGCCATTACACACTCCATTGAGTTTTTTATTTCAATAAAACTACAATCTGGCTTATCAATATTAATTTTATTACATTTAAACTTATAAAGTTCAGAATAACAATAAAAATAACTTAAGAACTAAACATTAAATAAGGGTGGAATTATTTCTCAAGGGGAGCGTAGTTGAGTAGTTTTTCAATCAGGTCGACGTGTCCTAGCAACATTCTTCTGCAGCAGTACCTCTTCAAACCGAGGGCGTCCAGAGCGTCACTGGAAATAATAAGTCATTTTTTAACGAATTCAAAAAAGAAGGTTCCCAATTTGACCTTTATGTATGTATGTGTATATTATTATGCGCGATTGGCTGAACCAAGTTTGATGTGGTTTTCAGAAAAGTGTTTGTTACTTAGGAGAAGATATTAGTATATAATTAAGCGACTTCAACAAAAGAAAGGAGGAAGAGAATCTTGAAGTCGGTTTTATTACACGTAGTTGATAAAAGTATTATTAAATAACATAATATTATATATATCATATTTAACCCCTACGTTGAGTACAAGTGATTGAAAGTGTAATTTCTGTGTAAGGGGTCTGTAGTTAATTTGGGATGTCTTTTTTTTTAAGGGGGGAAAATCATCGAATGACTGCTCCCGCCTGGGTGAGGCGGGAGGGAGTGTCAGACTCTTACTGACTAAAAACCACCCCGTTCCTTCTCCTGCACGTCGAGTCGGAGCCCCGGTTACCCGTTAGGTTCTCCGCGACTCCGAATCGGCATCGGCCGTATTGGGCCTCATCTGTGGTGGTCTGATGGCTCTTTGAGGCGCGCGTAGAACGCGACGCGCCGTACGCTCGGGTCTGTTTCTGGTCGGACGGGGAGCCACCCATGCTCGCCGTCCGCAGGCCCGCGCTTACGGTGGCCGGAGATCGTCCCGCGATCCCCGACGCCTGGTGTGTCCTTCGCGATGGCTGGGTTGCGAGGAGGCAGCGCTTCGCTACCTCACGCGTCCCACCTCCTCCTTAGCTAGCATGACTGCTTCGCAAAAGGAGGAGACGGCATCCCAGTCCCCCTCGCAATTTGGGATGTCTAAAGTATCATTTGGCTTAATCTAACACTACTTAATAAGTAAGTACATACATAATTAATTCTCAATAATCTTATTCCCGATCAAGGATCAAACCCTGGACCCCTTGTCATCAGTCGTACTTGCGTCTATTTGACAAGTCCACTTCGTGCTACATTTTTAGTTTTCAAATTCAAATTCTTTATTACGTGTCACATTGTTTTACAAATTTTTTTTACACATGCATACTTTGGTCAAAAAAAAAGTATTCATTACCGTTTATAATTTGTTAAAACTTCAAAAAACACGAAAAGTCGGACGATTGGCAATAAAATATAAATAAAAAAATATTTACGAGTTCACAGAACAGGCAACAAATTAAAAGTAATTTGCATGAAAAGAGTGCATTTACATGGTGTTGATATAAATATATTTTACTGCTTTACCATTAACCGATAACTGTTGCTAATAAATTCATACAAAGTTGCTTTTAACAACTCATAAATACTATATTAAACAGAATATTGCATTTACTTATAGGAAGTAATATAAAATGATTATTAGTTATTACCTATATAAATAGTTTGTGACAAATTATAATTATATGAAAGAGAACAGACAGCTTAGTACAATTTGTTCTATGTATAAAGTAATCGAATCGAGACTGCGTTTTACTCTCTGATTGGTGGGTTAATTGGAGCCAGCCAATCAGAGCGTCGAACGCGGTCTCATTTCGATGACTTTAAACATAAAACAAACTCGTACCTCTGATTGGCCGGATTGATTAAAACGTTACAGCGTTCTACTCTCTGATTGGTTGGTTCATTGGAGCCGGCTAGTCAGACCGCTGAATGCGGTATCGTTACGTTTCGATCTTGTTAAACGTAAAAAAACTCGTACTAAGTTCTTTGAGTTTAGGTAGGATACTTCAAAAATTCGATTAAAAGTTAGCACTGTCTACATCTTGTTTATCTTACTTCTAACTAATATTATAAATTCGAAAGTTTGTGTGTATGGGCAGCTCCCAAAAGAAAGAAAAAAAAAACATTATTTCACGCCAAAAAACAAATGACATGTACAAATAAGTCATTGTATTAATAGGTACTGATGGGCACATGTTCATGTCCCAAGTCTGCCGTGAAATGGGACCAGTTCAGCATGTGCAAGACAGGGCCCTGCGCTGGTATTCTACTGGCCCTTAAGTGACTCGCGGGCGAACAAGCCACCAATTAGACAGTGTAGATGAAATTAATTAATTAAATAAACATTATAATTTTACAAAATAAATTAATGACACCAAAAGTTCAAAACGGCTGAAGGTATCAGGATAAAATTTAGAACAGGAATAGTTACATAATGATTATGATCTGGAGTAATACAAAGGCTTATTTTTAATGCCCACATGATCGAGGATACAGCCGCTGGCAGAAGTTAGATTTTACATCAGTAAGTAAAAACAGTAATAACAATGGGTTCTTACGGACTGGTGTCCGAAAACATAGTAATTGTAACCAGACTAGAGCTTGCTGTTGTGGATAACTATGATATAATATTTATTGTCTCTAGTTTTATAAATAAAAAATAAATAAAGCAAATGAATTAATTACACTTATTTTATTATCATATATAAATCAATCTGATGGAGGAAATCAACAATAATTGCATTGGAAAAACTGTGGAAAACCCCAAGTTTTAAATACAAATCCAACCTTGGACATCCTCGTAAATTGCAGATAACCTTACTTTGACACTGGACTAAGAATACAAAGACTTTCAAACTGAAAGACCTTTCGTAGCTCACAAAGATCTTGTAAAGAGAGGTCTAATTATACTGGTCGTTTAAACTGAAACACCTTTTCTAAGAGACCTTTTGTAGTTCCAAAAGTATTTGTAAAGACAGGTCTAGATATACTAGTTTTTAATTTCTATGACACTATGGTATAGTAATTAGGTATTTATCTATTCTAGGTCATTTCCTCAGTTTAGACAGAAATTATTTTTCCTCGATACTCAGTTTGCCTCCAAATGCAGTAAGATAAGGGTCAGTTTTATTTTAGGAGCCATAGTTTGGTTAACACTTGTTTGAGTGTTGCGGATTTAAAAAGTAAAGTTTGTGTGTACAGTGATCAGTTGTTATAGTTATTTCATTGGCATAATGTGGGTTCTTTTTAAAAGGTTAGTGCTTAATAGTGATAGTTGATTATTAATTTTAGTTCTGTGTGGTATGCATCCAATTGAAGTTTTTATTTCAAGACATGATATTTGATGAAGTTTCAATTACCATAATGTTCTCATGAGTGCTAATGCAAAATATAACTAGTCATGTTACTCAACTTTTCTGTGAAACTTTATAAACAAAATATTAAGTAAGCGGTACCTATATAACTAACTACCATACTCTAATGTCGGAATACTGAAACTCTACTCAATTTTAACCCTCTGGAACTGACTTGGTTAAATCGTTACAATTCAACAAAGGTGTATATTATACCAGACACCATTTCAACAGCAAATATTTATGTAGAATTAAAGTATAGCGAGCACTATACAGTAAGGCAACCGCAGCAGTGATGCTTGTATTTGAAAAATGACCGTATAACACGTGATTTTGTATTTCGCGGTGTCTGTGGGACTACACATCAGCTGCAGACGGTTAAGTAGCGCTTACGTATAGTTCTGTCACTACAAATTCTTTGTAAAATGACAGAGATGGCACGATATTTAAGCACAACTTAAAATTGAGTAACATTTCAGTATTCCGGCATGAGTCATTTAATGGCTACTTAACCCAATGCTTAGCATTTGTTTTCTGAATAAAATCATTACTAAGGAATAGTTTAACTCGTTGTGTACCGGTTTTGTAGACACAATTATAGAACAATAGGTTGCGGTCACCGGTGACCGCTTGGTGTTTGACAGTTTAAGTAATCATTAAATGTCTCAGAGTACGGCATTTAGTTAAATAAGTTAATGGTAGGTACCATAAAGACTTGTTGTAACTTGTTGTAGCAAAAGTATGTAAATCATTTGGATGTTAAGTATGTATACAAAATACAAACCCTTCAGTATACTCTGCCTGCAAGAGTCCAAGGTACGCCTCCCATTTGTTGCCAATTACCTTTCCACATGTAAAACAACGGACTGGAATGATCATGTTGGCTTGTTACTCTGAAATAGTGAATACGAAATGAGTTTAGTTTTTAGGAGCAAACTTATGATATTTTTGCAAGAAATACTTATAAATAGTAAAGAAAATGCTATATAAATTGAGTATTTAAACGATAAACGAGCACTAAAACCACAAAATGCATCAAAACAAACATCTTTATACAGTTGAGGTTATGTTCTGTGGTTGTATTATGGTATTTTACACTTTTAAAGTACTCACAAGTTACAAAATAACGAAAATTCGTTTTTGATGATAGATATTTCAATAATACGATCACTGGGTATCTATTTATTTACGTGAATACTATAATTATTTTAATAATTCCGAATTTCACAGATCGCACTAAACAAAACGCAATAATGACATGTTGACATGACGTTTTGACGTTCAATAGAATGAATGATAATGACCGAATGGAAAATTAACCACAGACTACCTATAGGCTGTGGTTAATTTTTCATTCTTTTAAATGTCCAACACAGATCCAATATTATTGTCATTTTACATTACATTATACAATGGAATAAGGAAAGGAATCTTGAACTGAACGAATTTTATTAAATATTTTTTTCGTCTGTTTTGTTTCAGATTTACTTGCCAGGCTTCAAAATACTGCATCACAATGACAGTGAGCATGGAGCAACATTTAACAACCGACGACAGTCAATCGGTAATTATTTATTTTCATCGTAATTAAAACTTATTCTTCCGCGACTAAAATCGTAATAGGCTGATATTTTTTTATATTGTGGCAACATTATCAGCTGAAATTCATTCGTTCATTACTATGACATTGACGTGACTCGTGACATTGGCAATCTGTCAATTCTGTCATTGAGATCGTGATTGTGTTCATTGTGTTGATTGTTTCGAATTTCCGATTTGGACTACAGCTGGTTATTGTGTCTTTTGATAGTGTTTTGTGTCATAAATTAACCCAAGATTAAATTGATATTGTACTCCTATTTGTAGTAGTAATGTGAATACTGTGTTCGTGAAGTATTTAAAACCATTTTACCGTGATAAGTTCAAAATCACTTGTTACGTTCGACGAAATATAAACTACTGACCTTATAGTTTACGTATTGTTAATAGAATAAACTACGTATAACAAATCTTATCATCGAAGTAATTAAAGAAAACAGTAAGATTAGGAAATGGCTTTTCCAATTAAATTACTTTACCGCAAACATGGACAAAATAGCTGAAAAATAAACGTTTAATGATATAGCATTAACTACATTGAAACCATCCATTAAACTTAATTACACAAGTAATATAAAGTTGATGGAATTTATGTAACTACCAAAGTGGTAATTATAACATCTGTGCAAATAAAGAAGACAGATAATAAAATGGAATCTGATGATGATATTCGACCTCTTATTGAGTATGAAGGAAGTAGAGATTTGTATTTGGAACTCACAGCACAACTGATCAATGCTGACCCCGAATTTGAACAGGTAAAAATAGAATACTTTTTATTTTTAGATTTTGTATGTCTATGCATGATAGTTCTTAGTGACAATATCTTTTTGTTATAATTTTTTCAAATATACAACTTTGGTATTTAGAATATTCTACTTTAAAGTAGGTGCATAATTAAACAATTTATGTTATGCAGTTCTTTTTGTTATCTCTTTTATTTCTTAACTAGTTTTTTTTGCAAGAGAAAAATATATTTAATATACTACAGTGTTGTTTTTATAGTAGATATGTGTTCTGGAGTTAAAACTTTAGAACTTTTTATAGGGGACTTTGGTTTGTAACCTTTGAGGATACACAAACATAAAATAAAAAAACCAAAAACCTTTGTTGTTTATTTATAAAAACAACCAGTTTTGCTAAAACCTGTTGTTTTTATTGCTTGCAATGGAGTGCAAATATATTTTAAGCATTCAAGAATTCTTGGATTGATATAATTTTATTATTTGTAGTTGAACAAACATCTGGAATATTTTTCAGCATGTTTTTGAGTTATACTTATGATTGAAGTTCATATTAAACTTTTACAGGATATAACAACATCAATAACAACTCGCTTAAATATAGCCTTCAAAATTGTTGGTAAGCCGAGTGTCCCCTGGTTTTACACCTACATAGTTATTATCCCCACTATTTATTAACTACATCTTTAGTATAATTGCTAGAATAGAAAAGTCCTTGTTTGTAAGATTTATCCTGTAGATATAGTTATTAATAAGTAATAGTCCCTCATTGGTAGAATTATGATAAGCTCAACTGTCTCAATCGTAAGTTCAAATCAAGTATTTTTCTCTTTTCAAACATACACATAACACCCAGACCGAGAACAACAATTTGTGAATCACACAATAAGTTGTTCCATGCAGGAATTGAACCTGCTACACTTTGTGTGGCAGCCAGTGGCCCAGCCATCGCACCAAACGTGCAGTCTAAGTTTTACAAGGATTATGGAAAAATGAGAAAAACGTGTTTGAAATTGTTTCTATGTATGCATGTATTTAATAAGACTCTAAATTTTAGTAATATTTTATGGTGGTGTTTGCCCTGGCTTTATATTTACGGGGCTCAAAACAAAATTGGCGATAAGCTACAATTAATTATTTGTTATTTGCATCACTGCATATCTTAGAAAAAGGGATAAAAAAAAGGAAGTTATATTTAAAAGTATTCATCCAGTTATTTAACATGATAACTTAATGTTGTATAAGTAGGTCTTTGTCAGTCGGTCGCTTTATCTGAATCCCTCTATAAAGAGTTATCAGTTGGTGTTATGAATGCATTGAGTAAAATGTTATAGTATGACTAATTTATTGTTATTGTAATAAATGGTTGATGTGATTAACAATTGTAATTAATTAATATTTATCGGATAACAATTATATTTTAATTGACCGGGTAATTAGTTGTTATTGACTTCAGCCCGTGCCAGCAGATATAATTTCTCTTTGCAAATTTCTTGTAGAGAAATATTGCAGTCTTTTTCATGTTTATGTTATATAAGATTACTAGCGACCCGCCCCGGCTTCGCACGGGTGGTATATATGTAATTATTATGTATATAAACCTTCCTTAAGAAAACTCTATCTATTAAAAAAAAACGCATCAAAATCCGTTGCATAGTTTTAAAGATCTAAGCATATATAGGGACAGACAGATAGCGGATAGCGTGTTTGTTTTATACTATGTAGTGATGTTATATGCTTATGTTATAAAGGTAGGTTGCAAATTCTAGTTCTTATGGCACATGAAATGATTGTCCATTGTTTTCCTTCTATCGTTAGAGACTCTAAAGTATGATGTTGAGTAATAAATTATGCTACTTAAGGTACAAGATCGAAGTGTAGATTTCAAACAAATATGACTCAGGTCAAGACCTGACTCATCGACATTTAACTGTCTAAAATTCTTTGTTTTATACTTCCGACCGGGGATCTACCCATTATAATGCCTATATGTTTATATTTATAATATAACTGCGAATGTGTTTGTAAACAAATTTATAAGGAAGGATAAATATTGTCTGAATCACTTCACTAAACAATAGAAACGGAAGAAATAGTTTAGATATGATAGGGAAATTGGTGATATAGTTAACTAACCATTTGTGGTAACAATAAGTAACTTCTGATAGTGATAAGAGATCTTTAGATAATTGTGCTGTTCATAAGAATATAGCTAGCTTGGGAGCAGTAAGAAGTATGTAAAGGTTATAAAAATATTAGCTGATACCTAAGTATTTAGCAAAATTATGTTTTTGCTCAAGGCCAGCAATGATAATTTTGCTTACAAGAACTACTTATAAATATTATGGGAGTGAAATACAAGGTGTAACGGAACGCCTCCGAAAACGCAGACAGGTGATAGTATAGTAAAACACGATAGCTTAATTTTCAAAAATAAGGAATAATTTTTTTACGGGACAAGCCGCTAAATGTTCTGCCACCTGGTGGTAAGCAAATGGCGTCGCCCATGGACACCACGAACATCAGAGGCGTTACAAGTGTGTTACCAGCCTTTTGGGGATTAGGAATTTGAGGAATGTTAGGGATTCAGGGATTCGGGAGATTGGGATAAGAGGGCGGGATAGGTATCTCTGCGGTTGAGCCGGCCCATTACGGCAGAAGTACCTAAAAACTGTAAAAATAGGCTGCGTTTTCGATGGCGTTTCGTTTACACCCTGCATACTTGAAAAATGTAAGCTAGTAAGTATGTAATTAGAAAGTGAACATACTATCAACAAATATAAGTAGTTACACAAGAGTAATGTATGCCAATTGGTTTGCTTATCAACAACATGTAGGTACTTAACTCACATTGTTTTACGTAGAATTAGTGTTTCTCGCTAAATATACTAGTTATTATTCATGCTGTTTTGTTTTCGATGCCGTAGCTACTTAAATTATTGACCTAGTCTGAACTCTGGACTCTTACCTAAGAAGTGTTTGTTGCATTAGTCTTCAGGCCTTGGAGACTGATTGAGTTAAGATCATAATTTGAAAGTTCAGCTTTATCCGAGAGAGATAATAAAACATTTTGGCTCTGAGAATCAATCCATTTTTGAGGGAGGAAAACTCCCGTCCTGGGTGAGGCGGGAAGGAGTGTCAGACACCTATTGATTCAAACCACCCCGTTCCGACACTTGCTCGGAGCCGACGCCGCGGTAACTTTTTGCGCTTTGCCCGTAACCCGAACACCGACTGAAATATAACCCCCAAGAGATAAAGGCGTAAGTTTGTAATAACCACCCAATTTTTATGGTATTATTAACATATTTATTTTGTTCCCAGGTAGTATACGGCTACCGCAAGAGTCGTTGGCGGACGGTGCTAACCTACGTGCTGTCGGTCTTGTTCTGTGGCCTGCCATTCCTGGTGTTCCACTGGCTTCCCACCTGGTTCCTATACGTCACCTGCGTTCGATGCTCCTTCCAGTTAGCTGATAGAGTTCTGGTTGTTGTAAGTTTATCTATACGAGTTATTGTTATGAAATGAGTAGATGTTTTGATTGTTAATGATTGTTGTAAATATAGAGGTAAATATTTGAATATATCGAATGGAAATACTGCCTCGGTTTCTTATATCGAAGTTTGTTATATGTTTGCGCTAAAGAATGTTTAAACTTTGTTCATAAATAAAACTCAAAATTTGTATTTTTTTAACAAAACTTAATTGTTTAACATCTATTCAAATGTTTGATGTATAATTTGGATTATATACATAGATACTAATACTGTTTTTCGTTTTCAGGAAACATATCAAAAGAAGTGCAAGAGTTACTACATTCATTTAATATTACACAAAGATATAGCAGATACTAGGTAATTTAATAATTAGTCATTTACATTTAAGTACACACAACCATTTAGTATCTTATGGCTCACAGTTTAGCGTACCTACATTTCAGCTTTTTTGGTGTAATTGGGCCTCCGGTAACGTCACTCACACGAGGAAACACAACACAACGTTGTTCCACGTCGCTTTTCTGTGAGGCCGTGGTATCACTCCGGTCGAGCCGGCTCATTCGTGCCGAAGCATGGCTCTCTCACACTTAATATTATCCTCCCCTTCTTTACTATTTCATCACTTTATATTAAGTGATAAAATGCTGTCATAATTTTGCATTTATTCATCACCTACATTTGTGTTGTATCCATGTTTTTATTTTATAACAAAGTTTTATTATTATTCGTACAAATGATTTATGCATATTTCAATTGACTAAAACTAAAAATGGAGATTTATAAACTAGGTAATTATACAACATTGGTATTGAATACAGGAATAATATGTCTTTAAAATTTCAGTGGTTTACTAAACCAAGGGTTTGACGACGATGGCTCGAAGGAGAAGGGTCCCATTGAAAGTCCAGACGCCATACACACTCCCATACATCTGGATGATGGGACTACACTTAGTGAGTATACATATACATATATAGTATTTTAAAATATATTAATAACATTTTTTAGTTCAGTCTCTGTATTTTAGTAAGTGATAAATCAGTTAAGGTAACGATGGCCTTGTCGGTTGGGTGGTTGGGTGACAAGGGGTCATAGGTTCTATTTTTTGGGGTCATACAAAGTTTTTGATTGCAACAGCATTGACGTTTAGCCTAGAATTGTATAATTTATGTGGCAAGAGGCTTGTTCATTATTACGTGCGATTTGTAATGAAACTGCTAAAAATTAAGCGCTGTCTAGAATAAAACCGTTACATTTCATAATTGTGCTATTATATTGTGTAAATGACGTGTGTATTCGATACGGAAGCGTTATCGTGTCGTAGCGTCATACGACTGGGGAAGACCTGAACACATGTCCTGATAACGGTACACAGACTCCTACGCGTAGCGCCATTCAATATTCAATTGTTGTGAATTAATATAATATTGTAGGTCATTTGTCATACCTACAAATGACCGTAAATTAAGTACTTTTAACAGTCTAAAATATTCAAAATATATAATATCGTAACCAGGCGTCATAAACCTCGCCAGGAGGTTTATGACGCCCGCTTCTCATGCATGAGAGTGCGGGTTCGAAACCTACCAACGGGAAGTACCAATGTGACTCTTTCCGAGTTATATGTACTTTCTAAGATTATATAGACACCACTGACAAACGGTGAAGGAAAACATCGTGAGGAAACCTGGGCTTATATTTTCTAATTATAAGTTAGAAATCGCCGACCCGCATTGCAAGCGTGGTGATTAATACTCAAAACATCTCCGTGCGAGAAGAGGCCTTTGGTCAGCAGTGGCCAATTATTGGTTGTTGATGGTGATGAAAAAAAAAAACATTAATATCTTATTGGTAACGGGAAAAGTTCAAGCTACCAGTCGTCAGGCCTCCAGAGGGAAATTTCCCTACAATGCTATTACTGGTATTATACGACTATTCGTTATTGAAATGTTCAATTCAGACTATTTCTTTATGTGCATTTTAATATTAAACACACTTTGTTTCACTTTCAAGAACTTATTAAAACCGAATTGTAACTTTACTTTTTTGGGTTCTAGAACCATAGTTTAGTGCCAATGGCTAAGCACTAAATTGAACATTTTCATTCTAAGATTTACATTTCCTTTCCACCAGATGTACAAAACTACAGATATTTCCGACATAAGAAGCAGTCTCTTATCTGGGATGGTACTCGAGCTAAATGGACGAGGCTGGCGGGAATCGAATCTGGAGCCTCATGTGCACAGCTACAAGCTATGGGCGCTACTCCACCGTCCAGTGAAAGACGAGTTCGGATGTGAGTAAAGTTTTCCTATAATATAAAATTTGTGTTTTATTAAGTTTAACTTATTTGTTAGAGTCAATCATCACTTTATTGTAGTGTTTCTGTCTGTTTCTGTGTCTTGATTAAATTTTGTTTGGCAATAGGTTTGATCAGCACCTTTATGTTTTTTATGTAAAACTGGAAGGGTTTCTCCGTTTCTAGAAGGAGAACTGACGCGTTGTGTTCGATTGACTGATTAAATCTTAATTTTCAATTAAAAAGAGACCTTTTTACTCTTATTCAATGTACGTACATTATTATGTACCTGTAAAAAGCCAGCCAAATAAAAAATGAACTGACCTTTCATTAATATTTCCTTACAGTAATCCATTTAACATTAAACATCTCTTTCCTCAGGTTAAACATCTACGGTCTAAACGAGATCAACGTGCCAGTCCAGTCGATCATGACTCTGATACTCCTGGAAGTGTTCAACCCATTCTATGTGTTCCAACTGTTCACTATAGCTGTGTGGTTAGCTGAGCCATATTATTATTACTGCATCGCCGTTGTATTAATGTCCACGTTTGGTGTTGCCACTTCTGTTATACAGACTAAAAAGGTTAGTGATGTTTTTAAAGTATTTTTACTAGTTTCTGACAGCAACTATGTCGTTTGTCGAGGTAGTAGTATTTGATAGAGGCTATCTCTATATAACATTTAAATGTGTTCAGAAGTTTTGCGTGAAACAACCATATCTCGTCTTAAACTGTAGCATTTATAATTTCTTATTTATAGAACAACAGGTTCCCCAGGGGTTAATATAGTAATACCCTATAATTAGGTTTTTAGCGATAGAAACTTAACATTTAAATGCCATTGTATGTGGACTTGTATGTTTGTAAACGCACCCACGACACAGGAGATAATCCTAGAGTGGGGCAACGTTTAAAAAAAAAAACTTACTTTTCAATAACTAACGTAAAAACCAGTTCTCAGAAAAAATCTAACACAAATATTCACCCTATTGTTCCCACTCCAGAATCAAACCAACCTCCGTGCGACAGTAGAAGCTCACGACACAGTAGAGCTATGGGACGGTCGCACAGTGGACAGTCGTTACGTGTCCCCCGGGGACATAATAGTGCTGCCACCTCGCGGCTGTATACTACACTTCGATGCTGCTCTATTGTCTGGCGCTGCTGTGCTCAACGAGAGCATGTTGACTGGTAAATTCAGAAATTATATTCGAGTTGTATTTTAGGGGTCACATGGGTCATGGGGGGTCAATAATCACGCAGATTAATGACCCCCTAAATGTTATTTCAGAAGTCTGCGTTAGATGAAACTGTGAGTAATCGTCGTCAAATAACGTGTCTCAGAAATCTATATACATATAATAAAAAATAAGTAATCATCGTCTGATGTGCACGCTCCTTCTTTGTTTGGGCTATATTAGGACAAAAACAATGATGAACAGTTTTTTGGTTTATTGACTTCTTGTCAGCATTTTAATGACTTCATTTTCTTTATTTTAAAAGGATGTACTCTAAATATATTACTGATCTATTTATTATTTTCCAGGTGAATCAGTACCCGTAACAAAGACAGCGTTACTCCGAGTGGACCGTCCCTTCGACCTGAAGGAGCACGCGTCCAGTGTACTATTCTGTGGCACGAAGGTCATACAGACCCGATACTATAATAACGAGCCTGTCAAGTTAGTAGCACTATTCAATATTTGTTAGTAAGTGAAATGCAACAATCTAATCGAATGATATCGAATTTTTAAGTGTTTTGGAAATAACACTCATTTTTATGTCTTAGGTAAAACCAGTCGCCCTACTAACGAATTCACGGTTTTAAAATTCTTATAACTGTTTTAAATTGAAATTATTCCTAAGATAATAATAAATAATAATAAGATCCAACGTACCTAAATGTAACGCTAGCTTTTCGACAGTCCCAAGCACTTACGATGAACAAAATTTTCATTCTTCACTTTAAGGATAAGAAATCACATAAGCCTATTTCTACATCTCACCATTTCACATTCTTAATCAACCCATCTTTTCCTACCAGGGCTCTAGTACTCCGCACAGGCTACAACACGAGCAAAGGTCAGTTAGTCCGAAGCATCCTGTACCCAGTGCCAGCAGACTTCAAGTTTGACAGAGACTCGTACAAGTTCATCATCATACTTGCCTGTATAGCGGCCGTGGGACTCGCTTACACTGTCGCTCTCAAGGTGAGATGGGGTCTATAGTCATTTAAGTTGGGGTCGTAGTAATAATTTGTACAGGGTTAGCCTTTAGTTCGACAGATTCTTACAAGCTTATTATCATACTCCTTTGTATAGCGGCTGTAGAACTCAAGGTGAGGTGGGGTCTTTAGTCATTAAAGTTGGGGTCATAGTAATAATTTGTATGGGGTTAGGTTAGACTTTAGTTCGACAGAGAATCTTACAAGTTCCTCATCATACTAGCTTGTATAGCAGCTGTAGGTTTCACGTACACTGTTGGTGTCGGGGTGAGATGGGGTCTTGAGTCATTAAGGTTGGGGTTATAGTAACAACTTTTATGGGGTTAGGTTAGACTTTAGTTCGACAGAGATTCTTACAAGTTCCTCATCATAATAGCTTGAATAGAAGCTGTAGGTTTCACGTACACTGTCGGTCTCAGGGCGAGATGGGGTCTCTAGTCATTGAAGTTGTAAAATTTTATGTGATCATATTTTATTTAAAAATACTTTCTACGTTATCGCTTAGTATTTTAATTTTACTGCTCTGTTGCATAAAGAAGAAATATATCTCTTTTTGAGTTTTAAAACCATTTACTGCACTAGCACTATAAACAACTAAATCGCCCATTAAATTCTCCTTGTTATCGTGTACTTTTTTACAATAATGACTATCGTGAGACAATAAATTGATTACGTAATATGTAACACCGCGATTATTATGGATCCCTTCCGTTGCTTGAAGCCTGTCGAGTAACCTCGTATTACCTAAAATTAAAACATTTTTTGTATTATTTTCAGGCATACCGCTCTTTAAGTCCAGGAGATATAACCTTGAAAGCTCTAGACATAATAACGATAGTGATCCCGCCTGCCCTACCGGCGGCCATGACAGTTGGTCGCCTTTACGCAGTGGCGAGGTTGCGGCGAGCTCGCATTGCGTGTCTCAATACTAGAGCTGTTAATGTTAGCGGATCGCTCGACTGTGTGTGTTTTGATAAGGTAAGTTGAATATTATTTTGATTTATAGATATTATTTAAGAAAGATATGTTTTACTTTGATTTAATTTCAACACTTATTGTTACTGGCTTAAGTATATAGAATTATTTTCAAGTTTACGATGAAAATTAAAGTGCAATTCATTTCTAAGTATTGTGCTAACTGAAATAGCCAGCGGGCTCATTTTTATGCCATGATTCTAATATTATTAGTCGTAAGGCTTATAATAAGACTTAGGATTATTAATAGAAATGGCAAAAAGTGGGATTGAGTTCACTTCGGAGACATGTCGATCCATGTTCTCTTCAACATTCATATCTTTCAAAATTCGATAACACTTTATGGATTTATTTAACTGTCTATGTCATAATTATAATGAACGAGTACCACGAAATAATACAATTATCTTGATTTCCAGACTGGAACTCTAACAGAAGATGGTCTAGACATGTGGGGTGTAGTGGCAGTAAGTGGTGCCACAAATCCCCCCCGACTAGGTAGACCCCAGCGTGACCCCCGACTACTCAACGAGTTGCATCCCCTAAAGTTGGGCATGGCGTCCTGTCATAGTCTTACCTTGCTTGACCATGAACTGGCTGGAGATCCTCTGGATTTGAAGGTATGATGATAACTCATTACTTTACAATTAAATATCAACTTTGCGTGATAGTTCATTAAGTTGGTTTTCTAACTGTCTATCGAAATCATACATTATGAATTTTTGGCTAATATTACAGTGCTATTGTGAGCGTAAGCAAGGAATGGTTTTAAATCACTTCTTTGTCATTAAATTATTATCAGTAATCATTTTGAACTTTACCATTTTGCAGTAAAGTTCAAAATATATTAAAAAACCTATATGTAGCTACAGACTAGGTCAATAATATGATACTAATCTTATATCTTATATTATTATATAAAGCGGAAGAGTTTGTTTTTTTGTTTGTTTGTTTGAACGCGCTAATCTCCGTAACTGCGAGTCTGATTTCAATAATTATTTTTGTGTTGGATACCACATTTATCAAGGATGGCTATAGGCTATAAAACATCACGCTACGACCAATAGGAGCTGAGCAGAGCGTGTGAAATCGCGCGGAAGTAGATAGTTTACCTCATAAGAAGGTTCGTGACTATTGACCCTCAACTCAAGTAATGTGTCTAGATGTTCGAGTCCACCGGCTGGGTATTAGAAGAGCCAGACGTTCCAGAACATTCCAACTACGAGATCCTAACTCCAACTATAGTAAAACCCAGGAAAACTGCTAACATTGACGTCGATGATATTCATGTAAGTATTTCATTAAAATAACCTGTATTTAAAATATGTTTCATTAATAATACAAAGTAATTTATTTATTTGTTTGCTGTAACTTTAAACAACGATGGTACACCAATATTATTCACTATACCATAGAAATAATAATAATATAAATAAGTCGGCAGAAATAACTTTAATCAGTAAAAATTTAAATCGTATGATGTAACATCATTAAAAACTAGACTTAATATTTGACCAGATTCTTATTGTATGGCATATTACTTACACAAAACTAAAAAATACCAAAGTTTAGCGGGGCAGCTGGTACACGAAAACATCTGTTCGTAGTTTTTTTTGTATTTTTTTCTTTATCCTAACCATTACGGTTTTACGCCGAAGTTGTAACGTCGCGCGCGGTTCGTGTGCCGCGTGTGGCCGGACGTTAGAGAGACAAACGGACGCGCAGGTCGGACGTTAGGGAGACACACAGGCGCGCGGGCCGGACGTTAGAGAGACACACAGGCGCGCGGGCCGGACGTTAGAGAGACAAACGGGCGCGCGGGCCGGACGTTAGAGAGACAAACGGGCGCGCGGGCCGGACGTTAGAGAGACAAACGGGCGCGCGGGCCGGACGTTAGAGAGACAAACGGGCGCGCGGGCCGGACGTTAGAGAGACAAACGGACGCGCGGGCCGGACGTTAGAGAGACAAACGGACGCGCGGGCCGGACGTTAGAGTGGTTATTAAATAATTATTTTAAAAAAGGCAGTCAAAAATGTCTTATAATTATTGTATTATTTCATCCCCAGCTGCCCCTAGAATTGGGCATAGTCCAGCAGCACCAGTTCGTGTCGTCCCTGCAGCGCGCGTCGGTGGTGGCGCGCGTACTGGGCGAGGACGTCCTGCGCGTCTATACCAAGGGCGCGCCCGAGATGTTAAAGACACTCTGTGTTCCCGAAACTGGTATGTTGGTACATTCTAACAGTATTTCATTTATATGAGTCTTGTGCAGTCCAGTGCGCAAAGTTGCGCTATAATGAGTTTGCGCAATTTATCGCTTCCTTTATTGAGTATTTGCAAGTCCGAAAATACAAGGGATCTTGGATTTGATTCCCAGATCGAGCTATCTTAAGATTTTTCATTTATTTGAGAATTCTTAATATACACGAATGCTGGAAGTGTGCTATGCCTATTAAGTTATAGTAAAATATGTTCTAAGCAAACCCTTTTCAGGTTACCTCTTTGAGGGACAACCCTATTATGTATAAGTACTATTTAAAATAATTATTTTGTTTACAGTACCTGACAATTTATACGAAGTTTTGAACTCGTACGCGGAGAAGGGGTACCGAGTGATTGCAGTAGCCACCAGGGTACTAGAAGTCACCTTCAAACAACTGCAGAAGATGACCAGGGAAGAGGTTAGTCGTAGAGCTATATTATGCAAAAAATATATTTAGATAATTTATATCCTCTTCTGGGTTAGTTCTCCGGTTGGACAAAGCAATATTGGGGTATTTCGGTTTAAATATATTCAGATAGTTTATGTAATTACTGAACGTGGGGTCCAGGATTTGTTCTCCACATTATTAGACAAAGTATAATTGTAAATTGATGACATGGTTGTCGCTGTGGCTGAATGACTTCATTTTAACATTATGCATTTTTCATGGGTATAAAACCAATTGCTTGTATTAAACATTTTTGGGGTGACGTGTATCTAATTCTAAACATTTGTGTTTGATGATGATCATGAATTACTGATCAATCTTATCTATCTTGTGCTTAGGTGGAGTGTGAGCTAGAGTTCCTAGGACTAGTGATAATGGAGAACAGGCTGAAGGCAGCCACCACCGGCATCATACGGGAGCTGAAGGAAGCCAACATACATGTCGTTATGATTACTGGTAAGTACAGCTTTCCCCAGTCCCCCCTCATCCGCAATCCCCAAAAGGCCGGCAACGAACATAATACCCACTTTTCGCTGTATGACTGCGGTCATCAAAACCCAATTGCCCCCCCGTCCCCTCCCTCTCTAGCCCCCGGGATCCGAAATTTTAAATCCCTAATCTCCAAAAGGCCATTTGCGGGTGACCATTGCTGCGCTGGTTGCTTACCGCCGAGTGATCCGTCTTCTTATTTAAAAATAAGGCAATTTGGTCCAAATGAGTGAATACACTGCTGGGATAAAAACTAGGATCAATCCAGATTTTGTTTTAACATCGGCTATTGAAACCGACACTTAGACTTGTTTTAAATGAAACAATGTGTTTGCAATGACATCATATTTTACCCAATATTTGTTTGCAGGGGACAACGTGTTGACAGCAGTGAGCGTGGCGAAGGAGTGCGGCATACTGATGGGGGACGAACGAGTCGTTGTACTGCACACCGACGCCAGCGGGGGGGAGCCGCGCATATACTGCGAGAGCACGCTGCATGGGGTCCGTATACCTTGGGGTCGTTCATTGTACATTTAGGTGGAGTGAAATGGCTTAGGTAACCTTAATGTGCAAACGACACATTATGGCACTTAATGCCACTGTACAATGTAACAACCACTTTTCACTACTTATGTTATGAGTCCCATGTAATAGGGGGTGAACCTATTGCCACATACCGGGCACAATTCCAGACTCCGTGCTACTACTGTGATTATTTAAAAACCCAGTAGTACTTGACCGACCTGGAAATCGAACCCGAGACCCCTTGCCGAGTCGCAGTTGTGACCACTCGGCCAACAAGTTTTCATAAACATTTTCAATCCAAAATTTTGGGATTCAGATCGTTTATTAAGATGTTTGACATTAGTTAATCTCAAAAATCTATTCTGGTACAATGATTTTGTTAAGAGCAATCAAAATAACCAATTTCAATCCTATTTTAATTCCCCAGGCGACAGTAGGGCGCCGCTACCCTCTCCAACGTGAGTGGCGCAGTGTGGACAGTGGACACGGCTCCTGGCGCTCCGCCCCCGCCTCCGATGACATATACGATACGGAGACCGGAGCCCTGGAGCCACGGTACAAGATTGTCATGACTGGGGATACGTGGCGGGTATGTAGACTTAAAAAAATGAGCTTTATTATAGGTTTGATTCACACTGGGATTTAAAACTAGTTGACATTTATTCGAATAGTTATTTGCATAAAAGTTAATTAGTAATAATTCATTGATATAATGTTACCAACTACAATAATTCAGTACGTTTTCGCAAATAAAAAAAACTATACTTTTAAGAATTTTGTACAATCTCTCATTGTGTGTGACGTCACTTTCATTCGATAATTATTTCAAATCAATAATCTCTTTTTAAACTGAATAAAGTTTCACTTACAACCCACTACAAAATTGGACTTTAAATCCCTTAACAACAAGATTTATAACCACAGGTACTTCGCGAATACTATCCTGCCATGGTCCCCCGTGTAGTGGCCCGGGGCGCAGTCTTCGCTCGCATGTCCTCCGACCAGAAACAACAACTTATTGTCGAGTACCAGGCACTGGGGTACTACGTCGGTAAGTCAATGTCTATCAAACTTAATGTAATATACTCAGCCATTCACACACCTTGTAGGGTTCACCATTGTTTGGTCGAAAATCACTTCATCGAATTTTAGTTGCAATAAAGTCATTTCGTAGAATTATTCCTTTGACTGAATATATCATTGGTAAATTATTATTATTTAGCATAATTATTTATTTGAACGAATTTAATTACACCGATATTTCAAATGCACTAATTTTGCACACAATTATAAGTAATTTAAGATTAGTTTAACTGTTTTCTAGTTCAAAATATACCATCTGTACATTACTTCAAATGAACATTATACCTTTTGACCACTAGCGCAAATGTTGTTATAGCAAATAAATATTCGACGAACTGAAAATTCTGTCAAACGATATTATACTAAGGGATGATTTTCTTAAACGTTGTTCGATTTAGTAATATTAAACTGTCAAACACCAAGCGGTCACCGGTGACCGCAACCTATTGTTCTATAATTGTGTCTACAAAACCGGTACTCGACGAGTTAAAAGTTGTGCGATCAAACAAGGGTGAACCTTCTTGTGGGTCTCATAAGAGCTAAGTGCACAATACACAGTTGACAAAGATGGAACAGCAGAGCTCTGATGAACCTGAATCTTTTTAACAACTATCCCAACCCACTTGTATGGTACCTCCTTTTATTTAGAGGAGAGAGGAGGTAATTATTGAGGATAGTCGATAATGACCGTAATGAAATAACTAAGGAACTTAATTATTTAAAATGCCGAAATGAAAATACTCTTGCTCCAGATCTGGATATCAGACTCAAAATTCTTACCTAACCATGAGTTAGGTAAACTCAAAATGAATCTAATAAAACCTAGATAGACTTAAGCATCTGACTTATAAAACAATAGTTTCAATTCATTAACTGCCTTATTGGCCCGAGTGGTCGCAAGTGCGGCTGCCGGGCAAGGGGTCTCGGGTTCGATTCCCGTATCGGGCAAAGTATTACTGAGTCTTTTTTTTATCTCAGTAGCAGCACGGTGTCTGGAATTGTACCCGGCATATGGCAACAGGGTTACCCCCTATTAAATGGGACTCATAACATAAATAGTGAAAAGTGGGTGTTACATTGTACAGTGACATTAAGTGCCGTATTGTGCACCTCTGTCTACCCCTACGGGAATAAAAGGCGTGATGTTATATTATGTAATTTCAATTCAAATTCCTTTCTTCGTCCAGGTATGTGCGGTGACGGTGCAAACGACTGCGGAGCCTTACGATCCGCTCACACGGGGATATCACTCTCAGAACTAGAGTCCTCTGTAGCGGCACCCTTCACTTCTGCCAACCCGGACATAGTATGCGTCGCCAGAGTACTCCGGGAGGGACGCGCGGCACTCTCCACCTCATTCGGCGTTTTCAAATTCATGGTAGCATACTCCCTTTCAGAATTCTTCTCGGTAGCCTTCCTCTACTACTTCGATTCAAATCTAACAGACTTCCAATTTTTATACATAGATGTCGCTTTAATCGTTAATTTCGCGTTCTTCTTTGGCATGACAGAAGCTTATACGGGCAAGTTGTGTAAGACGCCACATTTGACGTCATTATTAGGTCTTGTACCTCTCTTTTCTCTTGTCGGGCAAATGATTCTAGTTGGCATAGGACAGTATTTAAGTTATTTAGCTTTGACATTTTTCCCGTGGTATGTTAGACATACTTATGAAGGCGATGAAGCTAACGAGTGTTGGGAAAACTACTCCATATTCGCGATATCGATGTTCCAATACATTATTCTAGCTATAGTATTCAGCCATGGGTCTCCTTATCGAAAATCAGTGATTACAAACAAACAACTAATGATCAGCATGTTGATAATGACGTGTATATGTGTGTACATAGCCGTATGGCCGGCGGAGTGGATAGCTAAATTCTTACAACTACGAATGCCTAAAGATACCTTGCTTTCATATATAATACTCGCTTTGGCAGCTTTCCATCTTCTCCTAGCTTTAATATTCGAAAGAGTAATTATAGAGTATCTAATGGAAGGTAAGCAAATGATACCAAAGTTCTTGAAAGAGAAAAGAATAAGAAAAACTCCACATTTGTTGATTAGGAGGGAGTTAACGGATATGGATTATTTAGATTGTGATAGCATTATCAAATACGATAAGGAGACCAGCGATTCGACCTTCGAATCTTCCGGAAAAGACAGCTGAGATCAGCTTCCTAATTTTGAGTATGGGACTCGAATTTTTATGGTTAAATGTGATCTTTAATGCATACCAAACTGAGTTCAAATTCGCTAGATCAATTTATTTTAAGATGTAAACCTCTTTTCTTTTTGAACAAGAAATCTTGCCTTTATTTTATAGTGCCATTTACTATACAGATATTATTTCAGGTCACTGAAAGTTTAAAAATTATGAATTTATACTTATGTATTTTTAATTTTAGAAATATCGATACAAACATATCAAGAATTGTCGATATGTTTTATAGAAAGTATTGTAGTGATGTGATCATTGTTAAAATGTATCGATATTATAATGTTACGTCTTTAAAGAAGTTATCGATAAAAAAACTTAACTATCGATATTAAAATGTATTTATATCGCGACAATCAAATGAACAATTTATAAATTAAGTTACATACAATATTTATAATACTGAACGTTTTAATCTGAAATTAAATCAAATTTTTATTCTAAGTTTTAGTATTATTAATATAATAAAATATTATCATTATGGTTTTAAGTCTTTGATAAAAATATTTAAAAGGTTGTTTCAATGGTACAATAATGCAATCACTCACAAACTTGGTTGCTTATTTTCAAAACTTATTCACGATAGCATTTAGTGCATATTTTGTCTATATTTTTAACAGTATTGCTCTTTATAATTATAGTTTTATAATGGGTATCATTGTAAGCGTAATCACCAGATGGTGTAAGTGTAGCAAGATTTTTTGTCTAATCCAATGTTGTGACTAGCTAGTTTCCTATTCACGAGACGATCTCTGGCCACCGTAAGCACGGGCCTGCGGGTGGCGAGCACGGGTGACTCGTCGCCAGAACCAGAACCGAGCGTACGCCGCGTCGCGTTCCGCGCGCGCCTCAAGGGGCCATCAGACCACCACAGATGGAGCCCAATAGGGCTGATGCCGATACGGAGCCGCGGAAGACTTAACGGGTTGCCGGGGCTCCGGCTTGAAGTGCAGTAGTAGGAACGGGGTGGATTTTAGTCAGTAAGAGTCTGACACTCCCTCTCGCCTCATCCGGGCGGGAGAAGTCATTGGATGATTTTCACCCCCTCAAAAAAAAGCTAATTTTTTATTGGACGAAAAACGAGAGGTTCGCACTAATGTCATCTGGTGGTGACAATACAGTAATCCCCATTATGCCCGGTGATTCGCATTTTTTTTCATATTTTTTTTTACTTTAATGACGGAACGTGGATGTTCTCCGACCTCTTTGAGAATTAAAAGGCGTTGTTACATACTTTATACAAAGGGGTAGGCAGAGGTGCACAATATATTAAGTGTTATCCCCCACTCATTGCGCAAAATTTTATATTTATTAATTTACATTTCTTAAAGCATTTTTAAATAAGGTATGTACATTTATTATGAATTAAGTTTACAATTTTTCTATTAATATGTATCTCCGAAATATGGAATAGTATTTTTAACACAAAGTTTTGTATAATATACGAATCTACACTTCGTCCTAAGTAAAAAAATACATTTTCTTATGAAATGCACAATTTCTTTGTATTTGTAGAGTTTTTATTATAACTTAGATATAGTAATGTAGTTTATTTTAGTTATAAGCACAATGTGATAACTAATTAGAAAGTGCCTTATGTATTTTAGTAGGAAAACATTCCAATGTTTGATACTAAAAGTATCAAGTTTTAGTGTAATTTTAAGAGTGTTTTAATTATAATGGGTTGTCTAGATCGTCTTAATTTAGGTACAGGTATGTGTGTGAGGTCCAACACTCCGCTGTGAAGAGATATTGCAAAAATATACAATTGAAAATGTACAGTATACATCGCCGTATAGCATCTATATAGGGTCTGACACTCCCTCCCGCCTCACCGGGGCGGGAGAAGTCATTCTCCCCCCTTAAAAAAAATCATGCAACATCAGCCTAGAGCAGTTGATTGCAACTATTATTGCGTTCAGTTTTTTGTTTGTATGAGTTTTAAGTTCTACAGTATTTCTTTAAAAAATCCAAATAGATATAAAGATTTAGGATTATATCGTTACATATCATCTACAGTACGATCGATTTTATTTCTACGATGTCTTTACATTTATCGATTTAGTTTTCTGATAGTTATTGTCTGAGACCATCCAACTTTGTTTTTGCAATACATCATCGTAACGTAGTGTTGTGCCACTGGTTTTACCTCCTTGAATGACCTCTTGAAGTTATGTATGTAGTTTGCCAAAAGGCAGATGCGTACGCGCATATTATTTTAATTTTTCTTTAATAAATATAAGATGCAAGTGATTTTAATATAGTTACCACTGTCTTTTCAAAGTTGTATGTTGTATGACTGAGTTCGACCGGAAATGTAATAGTATTTTATCTAACAAAATTGTATGTTTGTTTAGTAGAACATGTTTCGAAACTGACATCACATTAAGGGCCTTTTTCTCAATAACTGACAAGTTCCTAATAACTTGATATATTCGTATGGAAATACGGTAAATTATCCGTTAGTTTAACTAACAGTACTTTGGTCAGATGTTGTAAAATAGGCCTTAAATGAAACAAATAGCCCGCACTGAGCAAGCGTGGTGATTAATACTTATTAAGTATTACTTAAAACCTTCTCCGAGTGAGAGGTCTTTGGTCAGCAGTTGCTTATACGCTGTTGGTATTGATATTGTTGAAACAAATACTTTTTGTATCTGTCAGTTTAACTATACTAGACAAAAACTAACCATATCCAGTGTATCTTCTCATTATAGTTAAATCGTTGAAGAAAGTGTGTCACCAAAATAGAAAAATAATATTATTCTTTGTATAATTCATTGAAGTTACCTGTTTATTAATTTTTATTAAGATCCTACATTAATCCTTTAATCCTTAAGCGGTCACCAATGACCGTTTGAGAATTAACTACATTATAGATCTTATTTCCGATGTTTAGAGATTACTTTTGTATGAACAAATTTGGAGTAAATATTATGATAAAGTGTAAAAAATTAAATAATGTCCATCTGATTAGTTATTCAAAGACAATGGATAATGAGAAAGGAGATGCTATTTTAAACTGAATCCAACCTCAAAAAAGAGTTTCTCAGTTTTATCTGTATGGTTATCTGCGAGTATTTCGATCAGCTGAAACGACTTTGATACGGTTATTCAAGTTGTTACACGCAAGACCTTCTATTAACTGACTACAATAAAAAAGGAGGTTGGAGTCAGATTTGTCAAACGTAGTTTAATGAACATTATTTTTGGACCTTAAGATCATCCCTATTCTTATGAAAGTGAAATTAATAATAATAAAAATTGTGTTTTAGTATGAATTCTATTTACATTAGTAATGTTACTAAAATGTCTAATCTTTATTAGGTTGCAATAAAGTTGATTATCTTTTGATAAATTATTGAATTTTAGATTTTTACTTTGATTTAATAGATAATCCAAACCTATGTAATTTCTATATATTATAACTTTTATGAGACATACTAAATTAATTATTATGTTTTTCGACTTACTCGTGAGCCTTTAACATGGCTTGAAACTAATAAGTTGCTCGTAATAATTACGCACGGGCAAAGGTCAAAAGTCCACTTCCTCAGTAAGACTACTATCGGTTGCGCTGCAGCGCTTATACACACATGCAAACGCATATTTTTATTCGTGTGCGTACGCTTGCGTATGTTTATGCGTACGCACACGTTTTTATGCACATTAATACGAAATTACTTACGCATTGCCGTGTGAACATCACTAACATTGGCAGTGGACTTTTGACCTTTGACTACGTGAGTATACTAAAAAACATAATAATTAATTATGTAATTACGTGTGAAAAGTTTTTTTTTAATTATATTTTATGAATGATTCTTGTATTTAATTTGTATAATTTCAATAATATTATGTTTGGAAATGAATTGTACGAGATAATGATTTCAATAAATGCGTTTTATTGATTTTTGTGTTTTCTTCGAATGCCTCAGCAACATACTCAAAGTAGTATAAATTAGAGGCACGACCCGTTTATCCACTGGAATATATCACACCCACAACACAAGAGGAGTTATTAATGGGTTGCCGGTCTTCATTAATTTACTACAAACAATAAAAATAATATTAGTAAACAAACTATTACTTCAGTTTTACTAATCACTTACAATTACAACAAAATACATTATAGCATATTCATTCTCAAGTACTAGAATTTCATAACACTGAAAGGAGTGCAGTAGGTACCTAATGAGTGTTTTTTTTTTTTTTTTAAGGGGGGAAAATCATCGAATGACTGCCCCCGCCTGGGTGAGGCGGGAGGGAGTGTCAGACTCTTACTGACTAAAAACCACCCCGTTCCTTCTCCTGCACGTCGAGCCGGAGCCCCGGTTACCCGTTAGGTTCTCCGCGACTCCGAATCGGCATCGGCCCTATTGGGCCCCATCTGTGGTGGTCTGATGGCTCTTTGAGGCGCGCGCGGAACGCGACGCGCCGTACGCTCGGGTCTGTTTCTGGTCGGACGGGGAGCCACCCATGCTCGCCGTCCGCAGGCCCGCGCTTACGGTGGCCGGAGATCGTCCCGCGATCCCCGACGCCCGGTGTGTCCTTCGCGATGGCTGGGTTGCGAGGAGGCAGCGCTTCGCTGCCTCACGCGTCCCGCCTCCTCCTTAGCTAGCATGACTGCTTCGCAAAAGGAGGAGACGGCATCCCAATCCCCCTCGCTCCGCATCATGGCCTGCACTAGGCCCGGACGCGAGAGGTCGCCATCGCCGATCACTTCCCTGAGGACACGGCGGTGCTCAGCCCACGAAGGGCATTCTCCCACCGTGTGTTCCACCGTGTCCTCAGGGCGGTCCTCGCAGTGATGACACCCGGGCGTTTCCTCCCGCCCCATCAGACACAGGTACCTCCCGAAACTTCCATGTCCGGTGAGGACCTGCGTCAGGCGGTAGGTGAGGACGCCGTAGCGTCTCTCAAGCCACTCCTCAAAGAGGGGACTTACCGCTGCGATGGCAGCGAGCCCAGCCCTCGGTTGCGACAGTCGTTGCTGCCATTCCGCCATGAGATCGCGCCGGAGCTCATCCCGCCACGCACTTATCTGGCGCGGCAGCGGAGTTTCGCCCCGGCGACGTGCCTCCGCGCGCATGCTGTGCACGCGCGCGAGCACCTTCGCCTCCAGATCCCACGGCGGTAATCCGGCAAGGAGGTTCGCCGACTCCCCAGAGATCGTGCGGTATCCGCGGATCATTCGGATCGCCATGACCCTCTGTGCCATGAGCAGCGTCCGAGCGGGACGCCGCAACAGGTTAGGCGCCCAAACAGGGGCGCCGTAGAGGGCCATGGACCGCACGACCCCGGCGTATAACCTCCGGCAGGAGGCGTTTGGCCCCCCGAGGTTGGGGAGGATGCGTTTAAACGCAGCCCCCGCCCTCGCCAACTTTGGAGCCAAACGTCGGAAGTGCTCCACGAAGTTCCACCGACTGTCGAGGACGAGTCCCAGGTACTTCATCGTCGTCTCGACGCCGATGGTAACCCCTCCCGCCATTATTTGGGACCCACCCGGAGGTGGCGCGTTCCCGCGGCCATGAAAACACATGGCCTCGGACTTGTGGAGCGCCACCTCGAGTCCCAACTGCCGGATTTTTTCAACGACTGACCTAATGAGTGTAGGAAATATTCTTGAATTATATTCACGTTCCAATGAAGTACTAGACGATAGTATACAGCAGGCCCACCGTAAGCGTGCAAGGCGTGCAGAGCACACGGGCGCAAGAACAGGGGGACGGCAAAACGAGTTTTTCGGAATTGTGGTCCAGCGTAAACAGAAAGTATAAGAAAAACGAGCAATCTTAGCGTTATCACCATGTATTATCTTCGTTGAGAATATGAATAAGATGCAATACCAAAGTTACCGCTAATTTTTGCTCCCGCTTCGTGTCGCCCCAAATTCTAGACAAGTATCCTTAGTCATCTCCTATGAAAGGTAGGAAGGGAAAAATTAGAAGAATCCTACTACTCGCCATCCACCCCCTGGTTAATGGCGCCCCAAACCCGATAGCTACATGAATCGCTCTGAGGTTACTTTTGCCGTCATATACCGGTTGGTGGCGCCCCAAATCTTACATCGGTATATTTATTCGTTTTCTATTAAAGATAGGACTGGTAAAATTAAGAGAATCCTACTACTCGCCGCCGTTGATGCCGTCCCAAATCCAAAACAAGTATAAACGTAATCAGTCTAGCAAAGTTACAGAATGGAATTCCCTCCCTAGCGGCGACCCTGGCAAGGCGCTCTTAATTCAATACAAGTACCTGTAGTCGCCTCAAAATTTGGGATAATACCTCTAGTGCCTGTAATATATATATATATATTAAGGCTCTCAAGTTTCAATACTCATTCTTATCAATGTCACGCTACTACCACAATAAAACGTTGATGATAGTAGATGCAGTACAGATCTTTCACATTGGATGCGTTAATATTTCTAAAGAAAACATCTATGGGAGTTAAAATGTCGCGGAGAACCTATCGGGTAACCGGGGCTCCGGCTCGACGTGCAGGAGAAGGAACGGGATGGTTTTTAGTCAGAAAGAGACTGACACTCCCTCCCGCCTCACCCAGGCGGGAGCAGTCATTCTATGATTTTCCCACCTTAAAAAAAAAAAAAATGGGAGTTAAAACAGACTTTTGTCTGAAATCGACGCCAAAAAGTCAAAGGTCTAGTTTAACCCCACGAAGACACAAGTCTGCACATGTCGTGCTTAAATACCGCTGTTGGTTTTATCTCCTCGTTTCCAAAGGTCTTCCGTCGTAATTGGTCTTAAACTTTATGCTGCCAGGTCTACGGTAGTTTGCTTGTTTCGCAGTGTGCTAAAGTCCATCACCACTTAATTTGAAGATCGATTTGGTTTTCTAGTATGGTTAATGTATGCTATGTAATTGCTAGTTGTGTCTTCAATAAACCGACGATTTTTGTACACCTACATCCCAGGATTAGAGTACCCATCTAACTTGCCAGTATTACTAAGTGTAGTCATTAATAGATAAGGTGCAGCACAGGCTATCCGAGACGCACTTTTTAGTCTCTGAAAATAAAACCTATGCTCTTATATTATGTACCGCACACGACGTGCAAAAAGTCCGGCGCACAAAAATCCTAGGAATTCGGGCAGACCGTACCGCGCCGCGCCGCACAAAATGTGTGTAAAAAAATTGAACGTTTGCTTCGACGCGCGCTAACGCAGACGGCGCACACGTCGAAAGGTCGTTAAGTCGGAAATCTACATTTGCTAGGAGTGGAAGTAACCTTCTCATAGTTGTTTCTGAATAAGTCAAAGCAGGTTTTCAAATAAATAGCAACCAATCAAATGTAGTAACAGACATTTTATAACATTTGAAAAATGTTTCAGAATTGAATACATAATATGCAACTGTCCCTTCAGTAATCTTTCCGAAAGTAGGTACAGGATGTATCCAAAATTGTCTATTTCTTCTTCTTTTACTGTACTTCATAGACAAAATAATACTTCGCGAGCTCTGCACGATTTCCATATCGTCTACGTCCCTACAGCTCTGGTGACAGAATGATCAAAGATGTAGGTACGTCGTGTGCGTTGAGTCTGTGAAAAATAGCGATTTTTTGCGCGCCATGCAGACTTTTGTGTGCCGCAGACTTGATCGCACAAAGAGTGTCCCGTCTGCGCTGCACCTACGCGGAACATTACACTTAGGTTTATACTGCCTCAAAGCTGTCTCCTCCTTCTGCAAAGTTATGTTTCCTAAGGAGGAGGCCGAGCACGTGAGGGCAATAACCTCCCCACGTCCCAGTTGCCGCAGTCTTCTGCACATGCTGGTGGCGCTTTACTGCGGATTCTATGGACGGCGAGCAAATGTAACTCACCGCCTGATAAGTATCAGACCTGAGGTGAAAAAACCGTCAGACCACCATAGTTGCGGCCCACCAGGGTTGTTGCCCTGCCGGGGCAGATCGCATATAGGTTGTCATGCGAGTCTCCGTCTCGGAGCAAAACAGAAAGGCCGGACGGCAAAATATTATTCTATAGTGGTTGTATAGTGTTGACATTGAATAATTATTGAGATTTAATTGGATTGAAATTGCATTCATATCGAGATGAGTTTCAAGAGTAAGCACCCTGGTACGGGCGAAGGAAATCCTTATTCTTATACTATTATTATATTATATTATCCTTACTTACTATTATAGATGGGAAAGTGAGTTTGTTTGTTCCGACTTCACGCCGTAACTACTAAACCGATTGCATTGAATTTTTGTAGACGTAAAGTTAGTAGTCTGAATTAAACAATAGGGTACTTTTTATCCCGAAAAAAATTGATATTCCCGAGGGAAAACAAAAGTATTGGTATAGATGGCGCTGTATGTATTGGTATATGTCACATAGACTACTTTTTATCCTTTTGTGACGCGAGCGAAGCCGCGGGTAAAAGCTAGTGTTATCTATTTTTCAAGATATTGCAAGATTTTAACATATAACGCCTTTTATCCCCAAGGGGGTAGACAGAGGTGTACATTATGCTACTAACTAATGTAACACCCACTCTTCACTATTTATGTTATGAGTTCCATGTAATAGGGGGTGAACCTATTGCAATTTATCGGACACAATTCCAGACTCCGTGCTACTACTGTGAATTTTTTGAAAAACCCAGTAATACTTTGCCCGACCCAGGAATCGAACCCGAGACCCCTTGCCCGGCAGTCGCACTTGCGACCACTCGGCGAATGAGGCAGTTTTACAAATGGCCTCAGGTCAGACATACGGAAATATGTAAATAAAACGTAAATATTTTTTAAATAATTTTATTATTTACTAAAAAGCAATAAATATATCGAACATAGACTCTATCAATAAATTAACAAAATTTATGTTAACTTTACATAAAATTCATATTTGGCATCACAGTACTTTCGAAATGTTATGTAGGTATGTGGTAACACACTGACAAATTCATCACTTGATTTTTAAATCATTTTGGACGTTAAGACACTGAACATAAATTATATTTTCCAACAATTCAGCCCTAATTAAGACATTTTTCCATTAAGAGCATAAAATTTAGTGAGTTTTTAACAAAACTATAATTAGGTAGCTAACCGTTATTTACACTCCTAGGTCGATTCAAGACACATTACCATCTCAAGATTTTAAACTACACATAGACAGATATTTATTTTCAAACGATAGATAACATACAAATGCAAATAACATTAATAAATCGAATCATACAAAACATTTAGTAAATATTTTATTTTTTAATCTTGCAACATTTAGTTCAAAGCCATGTACACACTGGTGGGTAGGATGTCAAACTTCAACTGTATTTTTTTACATAGCAAAACTTATACAGATTCTTTTAAATATGTATTGTATTGTAAACGTAGACAATTAAACAATTTGTATATTTAACCACTAATTTTATTATTGTATATTTTATGTTTTTATTAATGTCTATTCGCTATTGTCGCGCGTTCGCGTTAATGTGTACATAGCACAATATCTAAAATTATTAATTTATCTATGATTGTTACGCTATAAAATGGTAAAACTTACATAAACGGTGCAAGTAATATCTTAGTGAAGTATGACAAAAATGTTACATAATATATCGATATCGATAAACTCTTCAACGTCAGAATCAGCACCACTATTGTATCGATATTATTTCAATATTAGAGAACCAATAAGCTTTATATTAGACGTACCGAATTGGGAATCGAAGCATACACTTTTCTTACATTGCTGCGAACATTTGAGAGTATCGATAAAACTACCGCTCGCTTTTCTATCGATCTTACCAACTATTTTTTAGGAAAAACAGTTACAATATTATTAAATAACCACACGCAGCTATTACGATCGTAAGCTATTTGAAATAGCTCCTGAATAATTTATCCGTGCTTTTGTATTAATTTTCGCATTAATCGGCACCAGTTTTGCGCGCTCTGGCGTTAGACTGAAGTTAAAACTTTAGTTTTTCACTTTACATAAGCACCTCTACATTGTAGCTGTTTTAATATTTAATTTTAAAAATTAAAGGCATTTCATAATAGAACTTCTTCCCTCCAAATTCATAACAACAAGGCTCATATAACAAGGTCTACTCAAATACATTTTTTACTTCTAGAAATCTCAATTTTTTTGAAGTTTTTAAATCTCGACACTATCTACAATCTCCTACAGGACTCTATTCAGCAAATTAATATAAAAATGGAACACATTGTTTGGAATTATTTAGCCTAACTATTGAAAAGGCTTCACGGCACACGAATTTCAATAAGATATTTAAGATTTCCAAGATACTTCTAGGCAATTCAGGGGTTTTATGCAAGATTTTTAAGAAATGTTTTTCGTCCATTGCTTTGAAAATTGACATTTATAATTTAATTTCTAAACATCGATGTTTTACTAAAGCAACGGGACAACCCTTGACAATGAAACTTAATTAGCGCTTGACAAATGCGGCCATTGAATTAATGCGATTTATTTTATGTATACTGAGTCGACATTACATACTTTTAAATGTACTTTTCAACATCACTTTTAAAAGGAAATTCGCCTTAAAATTATGTCACAGAGTATGAAAAATACAGAAGACACACTTTTATGTACAAAAACAACTATTTTACAAGTTGATAGATTTTTCGTGACATTTTGAACTTTGTGTTTCTTCTGTACTTTTCATATATTTTGTGTTAATGCTAAGTTCATAGTGTTAATAGACGCGGTGCGATGCTTCATCGAGGTTTTCTTCATGGATTACGCCGGAGTTTTGCGAAGAAGCTGTAACAGTTACAATTTGATAAAGTATTTATTAAGCTAGCACGTTACTTTAAATTGTTTCACAAGCTCTCTATGGAAAAGATAAATATCTACATTAAATGAGTACCTAAAGAAATCTTGCGTATAATAGGAATTTGATATCTTCCTGTTATATGAAATGCTAGGTAGCATTGATAGGTATCAATTAATACAAAAATATTGTAAGAGTCTTTTAAAAATTGAGATAACAAAGGGCTTGTGAAACTAGCAACAAAAAAACAATTATAGCGAACAAAACTTACCAAAAAGTGTGTGTGCAGTGCAACATAAACGATGACATGGAATGGACATACATACATTGAACAGTAATTTGTACATTATGGCCTATTGCAGACATTTGACCTTCGTATCATGCAGAAATATATTGAGATGGAATGATTCTGGCGCGGAATTCAGTTTTTAACAGAATAGAGGCAAATTAACAATCGACAGAACCCCTGGTAAGTGATCTGAGTTTACAAAATATATAAGAAAATTTAATAGAATTTGCGTTGATCTCCAGTGAATTTTAATATAGATAAAAATTATAATTATATAAGGTAGATACAGTGCAATCAATTTGTATTGTTTCGATAAAAACTTTCTCAAAGTCATTCCACTGAGCACATACTCCGTGACAATCTGAAACGCTATTTAAACAGTCTGTAATGAGCCATATTATACTTTTACATGAGTGCCAATAGTGTAGTGCACACAGTGGGTGCAAAATGAAACAAAAACTACTGCTTTTATGTTTAATTTGTACAGAGGAATCCCGTGAAGTGCTATTAACACAATTAGGGTGGGGAAAGTGACAATATCGATAAAATATTTCATCGACTTTTAGACAACGGCAATCTTCGCAGGGCAGTCAGCAAATAAAAAGACTAAAGATTGTTCGAGAATGATCTCATATAATATCTTATACATGTATAACAACTTACAGGGATGCATCACAAGCAACAAGCTATGTTATATAATCGTATCTCCCGTCTATACCTAACTAGAAATCTTCTGAACTATGTATATAGCATTAGATTTACATTGAGACTCTTGACTATATACTTTTAGAACGATTCAACATCTTTATTTACTAATTTCGCTTTGTGACATTAGCAGGACAAGCACTTAACTTCAATATTCAAGCAAAGTGCTCAAGCCGCTAGCAAAATTGACAAAAATATAATAACTATCAGATCTATTCATGTTCAATACTACGGATCAACGGTATTCCTACATTAGAAGCGTGTAAACATGCTTGTTCACTTTACAAAGCAGTGTAGACTCTACAAATAAAACACAATAAAATAAAAAATAAATTATGCAACACAAAACACTGATTACTAAGATCTAGTCATAAATAGTACTTAAACATTTATAATAAAATGCAAAATGTTCACATTAAAAAAAGATAACAATATTTTCATGTTGCAACACTATTCAATTAAAATGAAACAGATCTGTAGTCAAATTAATAAATTAAAAAAATATAAAATTCATTAAAGTAATATATTATAATCATTAAAATATATTTTGATTTAGGCAAGACATGATTAAATTCTACAACATTACACTTATTTTTATAAATTGTTAAACATTTTATATTATAAATCTCGGTTCTAAGATAAAAAATTAATCATTCTCAAAATTATTTTCGTAAACATCGAATATAAAAGGTGATTTCTTTGAAATCGTGAGATTGTTAGTCAAAATTGTATAATAATATTTAAATTTGACGAAACACTTAAATTGTACTCTAAGGTACGCGGACATACAGACAAAAAACTTATTAAAAATATCGATATCGATAAATCGAAAAGTATCGATGGAACATTGTTCATAAAATGTACAATTCTAAGCGTCACCGACCGTTTTAGTGCAACACCATTTTATTGTGAATAAAACTGTACAGGACTGAATATTTTTTTTATTGTTTTATTATTTAAATTACAAATAAATAAGAGATCAATGATTTGTGTTGGTGTGATGTGTAAAACGGTCGTATATGGCGCGTGTCGAAATAAATAAAAGTATTATTAATCTATATCATACATCGTGACGTTCGCCTTTCGTTCGCCTTATTTCTTCCTCTTTAGTTTCGGTATCCTGGAAGGCGTGCGTGTGAGTTAGGAGCAGGCATATGTGAATTATTATTTATATAGATGATAACTGTGAAACTATTTCCCCAAAAACCTTTATATTAACCAGATACCATAGTATACAAAATTTACAAATGAATTAATACTAACTACAAATGAAAAGAGTAAAATAAATTCAGCAATCATCCAATCTTACTGAAAAAGGGTCAGAAGACAGAAATCGTAGTTGTAGTTCTAGACATCATCTTAAAAAGCGATTCAGATTAAATATGCTTTGGGTTTTTCGATTTCGATATTCACAATATTCATAATATACATAATATTTAACTCATATTTTTTGAAATATCTAAATTTTGGTATCACAGTTGTGTAAAGACAAATATTATGTACTCAAAATGCAGTGGATATTTCTCATATTATATACGTCGGGGATGTAGAAGTGGGATTATAATTTCGTCGTGAAATTAGTCGAGTGTCGGTTGCGTGCCATTATTTACATTAGTATGTACTTCATGGGCAGTGTGGCTAACTACGGAATATTAAATAATTGTTATCTTACCCGGAACTCTTCTTGTGTGGGGAACTTTGTGACTTTTCAGACTCCAGTAACTTGGTGGTCGAATCCTTCATAAATCCTGTAAAAGATATGTTATGTTAAGGTTCTGAGTTGAAGATGAACTATTTTATTTAATTGTTTGTTAAGATAGAAATTGAATTGTATGTACCTTTGCCTGAAGAACCGAAGACAGAACTGCCCAAATTGTTCAGACTGCTTGTAAAGTTGTCTGCTTCTCTCGCGACCGCCTCTGTAGCAGCTTGCTCAGCCCCTCGCACGCCCTCCGCGACCTCTCCCAGTCTGTCACCAACAGCCTCTACTCCCTCCTTGCCTGCACCCTTGATCTCTTCAAGTTTATTATCAGCTGATACTTGGAAACCCTCAAAACTACTCTTTGCGTCACCGAACAACTGTTTCGAACTCTCTTCAACGTGTTGTTGCGTATCTGACAGAACTAATTTCGCCGAATCATCAAGACTGTCGAAGGTGTTACCGGCTGAACTCTGGAAGGAATGAAGAGTGTCTTCAGCAGAGCTGCCCAGGCTATGTACGTCATCCCTCATGGAGGCGAACGTGTCTCTGGTCGAGCTCTGCATCTCATCCCACTTGTCCTTGGCCTCGCTCACTTTGTCCTTCGCCGAACTTTCGACCTTATCGAAAGTACTCAAGGTTGAGTCTTTAGCGTGATCGAATGCCTGTTTCGACGACCGTTGCAGGTCGCTCGCTTTGTCAGCAGCCGATTGTTGTAAGAATTCAAATTCCTCTTGTCCTGAATGCTTGATGTCATCGAACTTATTGCTTACACTAGTTTGTATTTCTCCTTTTTTGTTTGATGCGGAATTTATCGCATCTTCTGCTGTTTTACTGATTTGTTCTGTCGCGAGTTCAGCTTCTTGTCTTATCCTGTCCAGTTCGCTCTTCGCTGCGTCTTTCTGGTCATGGCAGGCCTGTCCGAATTCGTCAGTTTTGCTTTGTATCGCACTGCTTACAGCTGCCGATTTGTCGTGAACTGCTTTTGATACTTCATTGGCTTTGTGTTGTGCTGCGTCTTTCAATTCGCCGGTTGTACTTTCAACTGATGATTTGATTTCTGAAGCCTTTTCCTTAACTGAATCCTTAGCTTCTTCTGCTTTGTCATGTCCAAAGCTGAATGTTTCGCTGATAGCATGACCGATACCGCTGAACGTGTCCTTGATAGCTTCTCCAAAACCATGGGATTTCTCGTGTACTTCGTGACTAATTTCTCCAGCTTTATCTTGCACGGCGTCCTTAGCTTCAGAGGTCTTATCGTAGATCGCATGTCCGACATTGCTTGCTGTGTCCTGAATGTTGTTGCCTACATTGCTAGCCGTTTCATGTACTGCGCTTCCAAAGCCAGTGAATGTGTCGTGAATAGCATTACCAAAATCACTCGCTTTGTCCTTAGCTTCGCTGGCTTTGAATTGGATTTCTTGTCCAACTTTGTTAGCGCCATCTTGCACTGAGTGTCCGATTTCACTGGCCTTGTCTTTCGCCTCAGCTGTTTTATCTTGTATCGCCTGTCCAAATTCATTCACCTTATCTTTAGCTTCAACAGTCTTGTTTTGTATTGCCTGTCCAAATTCATTCGCTTTGTCTTTTGCCTCAGCAGTTTTGTCTTGTACCGCCTGTCCAATTTCATTGGCCTTATCCTTAGCTTCCGAAGTTTTTTCCTGTAATGTTTGTCCGAATTTGTTTGCTTCATCGTTAATTGCGTGTCCTACTTCACTGGCCTTTTCTTTAGCTTGGCTAGTTTTGTCGTGGATAGCAGCCCCTAGTTTTGTTGCCTCATCAGCCACGGATTCTTTAAAGCTGACGGTTTTGTCTTGGATGGAATGACCTACATCAGCAGCGGTATCTTGGATAGAATCTTTGACTTGCTTCGATTTGTCAACCACAGCTTCTTTAGCTTCGGCTGTTTTATCGTGGATAGCTTGTCCTACTTCTGAAGCGGTTTCATTGATTGCGTTACCTACTTCATTGGCTTTGTTCTTAATGGCGTCTTTGGTTTCGCTGGCTTTTTCTTGGGCAGCGGCTGCTGTGTCGTGTATGGCGCCTTTTACCTCATCGACTTTTCCCTCAACTGAAGCTTTGATCTCGCCAGTTTTTAATTCAACGGCCTGCTTAGCTTCAGCTGTTTTGTCGTGAATAGATTTTTCGATTTCATCTTTCTTGTTTTGTGCCGCCTTCTCGGCTTGCTTCTTCGTCTCTTCTACGCTGTGTGCTAGTTGTTCAGCTCCTTCTTTAAGTTCACCTTGTTTCTTAGCAGCAGCATCTTGCAGCTCATCTTTCTTCGCTGCAGCTTTGTCCAAGGCTTGGCTGGCTGATTCTTTGCCTTCAGCGATTTTACCTTTCACCTCTTCTTCGAGTTTTTCCTTTTCTCCGAAAATATTGTGAACCAGACCGGTGAAAAAGCTTTTGCCTTCCTTCGCCTTCTTTTTGGCTTCTTTGGCCTCTTTTTTTAGCTCTTTCTTTGATTTTTCCTTGACTCCCTCTAAAGAGTCGCCCATAGACTGGAGCTTTTCATTAGCAGATGCCTTCACATTGTCTAATGTATCCTTAGCTCCTGATTTAACGTCTTGAGCTTTGCTATTGATAGCATCTTTAGCGTCATGGATAGCTTCTGAAACTGCAATAGCGCCATCTTGTGCTTTGTGCTTAATATTGTTGGCAGCACCTTCAGCTGCCTTCCCTACTTGAGTTAGTTTCTCACCATCTCGGAGCTTTGTTTCTTCAGCCCTTTCCATAGCAATGAAGTTGAGCATCATGGCTTTACTGTTGATATCGTCCTTCACAATGCCAGCTTGATGGATAACGTTATCAACAAGGTTTTTAGCGGAAGTCTTAGCGTCTTCAACTTCAGAAGAGACGTTATTCTTCAAATCATCAGCTTTAGCATTAACATCATCTTTAACTTTCTCTGCAGATTCCGAGATATCGCTAAGTTTACCGCGAGCACCATCTTCTAGTTCGTGTAATTTGTCCTGAGCACCAGATTTAGCTTTCTCAAGATCACCGAGTAGATCGTTGGCTGCATCACCAGCTTTGAGTTTAATTTTATCCTTTTCATCTTCAATAATGCATAAGCCTTCTGCTAAATCACCATGAACTTTATCAGACACATCATGTAGTTTCTCGTGTGCTGCAAAGTGAACTTGTTCTATCCTGTCGACGACGTTAGAGGTTTCATCATGTCGGTGTTTCTGGCCCTTCTTATATTTGCCTTCGCAGCATCCGACGTAGAATTGGAATGGATCTGTTTTCTGGGTGCACACTGGTGTATCAACTGGTTGCATGCGTTCGTACTGTTCATAGAGATTATCTTCGATGGGTTTTGAATTCTCTTCATCAACAACCAGTTTGGTTGCGTAAACGTGGTTGTTAATATCATCATCTCCTTTCTGATTGGGTGCAGTTTTAAGATCTTTGAACACATCGTCGATTTTACCTAAGAGGTCTTCGCTGATGAGTCTGGGGGCGGGTTTGGGTGGTGACTTTTCTTTCTCTTTAGGATCCTTTTCCTTGGAATCCTTTTCTTTGGAGTCCCTTTCCTTAGATTCTCTAGGTTTAGGCTGTGGTTTGGGAGAGGTTTCTTTCTCATCTTCCTTATCTTCGCTATGGCTGAAGACGTTTTTGACCTTGTCTGCGAGGCCGCCAAGGAAGCCCACGCTTCCTTCTGGCTTCTTCTTACCCTTCTCAAGGGTGTTCATTGGGGTCTTATCTTCGTCTGAATCGAATGTTGCTTTAGTCTTGTTTGAGTCTACGTTAAGAGAACCGCCATTGACTGTAACGTAGAAAAGGAATTAGGTATTATTTTCTACGATCATTGGATATTATTTAGTTTTTGGATATTTAAATGATTTTGTTTATTATTTTTACTCTTACCTTGAGGTTTAGAATCTTTGCTATCATCAGTTTCTTTCGTTTGGTATTTCACGTCGCCGTTTGTAATGATCTTGTCCTGGAACAATAACAGAAGTCATTACCGATCTACGCAAAACTTCGTAACTATTCGGGTATTCTTTATTACTCGACGTAGTAAGTAAACAATGTTTTTTTCTACTTTTGAAGTTTTGTAACTTGAATATTTTTATAAAGAATGCTTGGTTCATGATCTACAATCGATACCGAAGCCAAAAATATGGTTTTTACAATTTTAAGTCTGGGCTAATCTCAAAAAGTACTGCATGGATTTACTTTAAATGTTGCATATTAAGAGGACGGGTGCACTATATTCGGGGTCAACATTTAGGCTACATATTATCACGGTATCACCAACGGGGACGCCCGTAGGTCGTAGCGTAGTTGTGATTCCGCGCGGACGAAGTCGCGAGTACAGTAAATATGATAAATAAAAATAAACAAGATATACTTACATGTCCATTGACCTGTCGGTCATGTGAGTATGGCAGGGAGGCAGGTCCCAGGCTATTATTGTGGTCGCCGCTCCAGTGGAAGCTCAGCTCATCCTTCAGTGCGTCGAATCCTTTGGAAAATAAAAATGTGTTCTACAATAATAGGGATGATGACAGGGTATGAAAATTAAAAATCTAATTAGTCCGTCAGTTAGGTAATGAAAAAATATTAGACACGTATTTTTTTATTTTGATGTATAATAAAATTATACTTATACAACGAATGAAAGTTTAGGAGTGGGGGTTAAACGTCATTTCTACGTATAAAATGTACATAAAAGTGACGTCACGCGACATTTCAAAACAATATACCATCGAAAGTATTCGTTTCTGTAAAAAAATAAAAAATACGTGTCTAATGATTTAAAATAATCTACCAGACGGACATTAAAATAAAAATTAATCATCTACCCTATTATAGGGACAATAATATACCAATTATGCATTAGGAACCTATTTACTATGTCAATGTTGCCTAGAAGAGACGCAGAGTGCCATTTGAAATTAATATCTTCGTAAGTTTTTGGTGATAAGCGTAAATAAATCTGATTACCTTTTCTTTGTCTTTGTTAGTAAAAAAACCTCATCGTAGTCGTCATTTTTTTTTTTCAAAATCATTCAAAATTTATGAAATGTACTAAATTATTCTAATTACAGGTGTTCGTTTCTTTTTCAGTAAATCTTTGTGATAGTAATAAGAAAATGAGTACCACGTAAATATAAACTTACCAGACTGGTCCAAGTTGAGGTAGTCGACTTGGCTCTTCCCAGCGCGCGGTGCGATGCGCTCCGGCAGTTCCACGTCCAGTACACAGGCCGGGGTCTGGGACTGCTCGCCCTTGGGGACCTATGATACGAGATATTAACGTCAAAAAGTGGCATCTTTTATATACATGTACATATACAACTGTCCCACTTTATACCCGAAGGTGCAAATTACTAACTAACTTGTTTAAGTTCCTTTTTTAATGTATGATGAAATATAATATTTGAAATCAAATAAAATCGAGCTCAATACAGGGACAGGTTTGCAAAAATACGAAATGAATGATTTTTATTTTTTTAAGGGTGAAAATCATCGAATTTCTTCTCCCGCCTGGGTGAGGCGGGAGCGAGTGTCAGCCTCTTCCTGACTAAAAACCAACCCGTTCCTACTTCTGCACTTCGAGCCGTATTAACTCTGTATCGACATCAGCCCTCATGGTGGTCTGATGGCTGTTTGAGATTAAAACTGATACAATTTTAGGCAACATTATAATTATTCATTTCTTACATTCCAAACTAAATCCCTTTTCATTTTCTACACTTAATTGTAATCTTACCTTAGGTTCATTCATGAAGTAGATCCTGCCTGATGGGTTCTCCTCATGGTGCTTGACGCGCACTGTGAACTCTACGCGATTATCTTTGAAAGCCTGAAACAATGACATAACCTAATAGTATGGAACTGGAATTCACTAAAAAAGTATTATAGTTGAACCGGCAACCGCAACATTGTTAACGGCAACATTGAGCACTAAATTCAACCTTGCCTTTTTGAAATAAATACCAAATGACGAGTAAATAACAGATGGTCAGGATTTGACATTACGACAATCTTCAATTAAATGACATAGAGACAGTGGTTCGCCAATTATTTGCTATTGTTTTTTTCTGACAATTGTCTGCTAGACAATGTTTTAAATTCTCTCTTTTAATTTTCTTAACAGAAACTCCAATGGTTGTTGAATTGTAAATTAAAATTAAAAATTGAATGGAAAATTACCTCAAAAGTCAGCATGGGTTGGCTGCCAGACTTGGTGACAGGCACCAGGTTGCCAGAGAACTCCAGGTATACGTCTTTACCGTCCAGGAATCGAACTGATGTCGAGTGGGCCACTTCTGTGTAGTGTTCCTGTGAAGAAGAGTTGCATTTATGTAGTCACAGAATTATAAGTTTACACAACACGCA